ATTATTGTTTATTAAAAAAAAATCGTTATTTATATTTTATGTGTTTCTTTTCTTTTTCAAATCTAAAAAATCTGTCTCGTATTCATTTCAACATAACGTAATGGTTTCAATCTAAAAAATCTGTCTCGTATTCATTTCAACATAATGTAATGGTTTCATCGTAGAGGCGATCCGGACAAGACTGATTATTTCGGTAATACATGCTTGCATCTGGCAGCAGCGAGGGGTCATGAATTCTGCGTAAAATTTCTGGTGAAATTTGGTTGCAATATCTGGTCATTGGACATCGACCGGCATTCTGCCCGAGAACTTGCGGCGATAAATGGTTGCGAGAGAATTTTGCAGTTCCTAGACCTCGCCCAGGCTGATCAAGAATTGAATAGTCGCAAGAAAAGCCGTCTGCTCCGGGAAAAAGCAGAGAAAGATGCGGAGAAAAGGTATAATCGCAAAATAATTATTGACCTGATTAAATAATCTCGGTTTCAATTTATGACTATCTAATAAAAAAAAATACTTGTGTAAAATATTTTATTTGTATTTTTTTTTAAGATACAACTGTATTAGAGTTTATTTGATCACAGAAATAGCCATAGATTCAGAAATCAGTTATCGATAGTTTATTATTTGTTATATGTTTTTTATTTTAAATATATAAATTTCAATACTGATAATAAAAATATTTATCTGTTAAGATTAAAAGAGTACATGAAAAAACAAAAGATGGCTGAAATTAGGGCGGAAAAGGAACAGAAAAAACTTATAAAGAATCGTGCTAGATCGGACTCCGAGGCGATGAATGAATTAAATTCTCAACGATCAGGCGTATTGACTTTTAAAGGTCGAATAAAACCTTCGCCGACATTTAGCGATATCGTTGGCACCACCGCGAAGAGACACGGTAGCACGGTATGTCGGAAAGCCTTAGCGAAGAAAGCCGCCAGTGATTTCAAGGTCGTAGAGGTAAAAAAAGATTTAAAAAAAGTTTATTGAATTTTTTACAACTCTAAGAAAAAATAATAAAAATAATATATAAAATTAATTTTTAAACAATATTATCTTTTGACGTAACAAAATGAGAAAATAAAAAAATTATAAATGTATATTTTAAATTTTTTTGATCTTATATCTTATATATGATAATTCCTTTTTGTTTATTTTAATGATTAAGAAATTATATAACATTCCAATTATAATGTTGTATATGAATAATATATATCATTATTATAGGTTGAAATAAATGGAAAAAAATCCATTCGAAGTCTGACCGGCGTTCGACGAGATTCTGAAGTTATGTACGTAGGCACATACGATACTGAATCTCAACATATAGGTAGAAGAGGGAAGATCTCCGATGTATGGGGTACTCTAAGCAAATCTCAGAGCACGCCCGATCTCTTAGGTGAAAGGATATATGACGAGGAGGAGGAAGATAGGCAGGAAGAGAATTTGAACATTGCGAAAGACACTGCTTTTCTTCGGGAACCGGCCAGCATCTTTAACCGACCTGGATTCGGTTCGGTGGCCTTTAGAAGGGCGGTTAGTCTTAATATTTGTACCTGTAAACCGTAATTTCATTTACAATGAGTAGTTGTAAACATCTTACCTCCGATAAAATTAATATTAAAAAAGCTAAAAAAATCATAAACGAAAAAAACTGTCTTAAAATGTATTTTTTATATAATTTCAGCTATATGTACATAGATGTTTTCTTTTCTCTTTTCCTTAATTATCGCAACTCTGATAGAAATAATATAAAACGCAACGTCTTTTATTTGCAATTATTTTGATGCCACGCTTCTTACACACACATACACATTGTAATAATGATCATCTTAAATATACCTTCATACGGCTATCTTTGCTATAACAACTCGACCCGTAGAAATCGGTACGGTTTATGCCGTTGTGCGTTTTCTTTCACAATATGAGTTATTATTTGTCCTATTTGAATAATAATTCAAGAACAAAGAGAG